CATTGCATGTTGCAGCACATTACCTTTGCCATATAAATATACTGTAGTAAGAAGTGTAACCAGCTGCACTAAGTGAAATCGACTCTGTAAGCATAATTATGCAAACACACTGTTTGTGAGCAAAAATAAGCTATAGCTGAGGTTGTACAACCCCCCATCCCCAGTGTGCTTTCAAGGGGACTGCCTATCCGGGATTAGTGTCACTCCATTACGGAACGAGTTTGAGAAATCACACTGGACACCACAGCCTGCGAGCTCCTCTACCCCACATTACTAATTTAGCTAAAATGTCTAATTTAAACTGTCATGTATATACAGTCAGGCTTTTAACCAAATGGAGTGACCTACTCACATCTAAATACCATTCTCTATTCATTTCCTGTACATTTGCCAATCATTCCCAGTCTAACTGATTATATTAAACATGACTGCTCAGTAGATTCATGAACAACCAGTATAATGCTATGGAGGCACCAACGATCCTGAACTGTCATGGACACATTCTGGGAGTCCAGTTCCGGAAAATGAACTTACCATCCTGACGCGTAGTAAACACAACTTGCTCACGGCCAGAGAAACCGCACGCACCACTGACGACGAGAGACCACATGACTGGAATGCGCGTGCGCGTGGATCGGAAGCAAGCTAGCAGGGAATACCCCGGGGAATACCCCGGGAAAAGCCCCGCGTCGTTCGCCCATGTCCACCAACTAAGTACGGTAGTACACCTAGCATCATGGATGTATTAAGGGGCTATGACAGGAAGTTTTGTTCTTCTTCTTAACTCTTTGGGGCCCAAAGCGACTCCAGTGGCCTTTTACGTCACTAAAACGCAACGGAAACGCAACGCAAAAAAAGGCGGTGGGATTCGAACTAGGAACCTCCCGTGTTGAAGTGCACTATACCTTACCGCCTGAGCTAGTCACTGAAGTAGGCTAAAATGTTACCTATATTCGGGATTACGTAGTCAATTGCGCCCGTAATGTGGACCCCAAAGAGAACCAGCAACAACCAAAATCGACAAAGACATGAAATTTTGTATGAATGTACATATCGATAACCACATGTGCAACGTCATACTTTTTTGTTTGTAAACAATGTTGTTTACTGTAAACAACAACAAAATTGCCCCCAGGCAGTACATTATAATGGCATACTACTGTGTCAGTGTAACTCACAATTGGTAGGAGCAATGTGAACGAATTGTATACATAATGTATTCAATAGCCAACATCAAAATCACAACAATACATGTTTGCAAATAACAATTAACAAATAGCCTCAGGCACCTTTGTTTAGATTTACTTCTTCACTTCTCAAACTTTCCAATGGTAGCACGCATAGAGATGAAACTTGGTATGTATGCCTATTACATCATTTCCATGACCATTACAAGTTTCCATGATGACCGCATAATTATTATTGTTTGAAAAGTCTCAGGCAATTTTCTTTAAAACTACTTCTTCACTCGTCAAAGTTGCTAACTGTAGCACACATGGAGGTGAAACTTGGTACACATGAATAATACTATGACAACCACAACAACAAATAGCCTCAGGCACTTTTCTTTCTTGCTAACTATAGAGGTGAAACTTGGTACGCATGTGTATTACATCGTTTCCATGACGACCACAACAACAATTATAATCCCTTTCTTCTTTACTCCTCAAACTCGCTAACCGTACCACGCATGGAGATGAAACATGGCATGCACACGTGTAACATCATTTCCATGACAACCACTTTGTTTGAACAACAACAAATGAGCCTCAGGCAATTTTCTTTAAAATTATTTCTTCACTTCTCAAACTCACTAAAAGTAGCACGCATGGAGATGAAACTTGGTACACAAGCGCATTGCATCATTTCCATGACAATTATTGTTTCTATGACAACTACATATTGTTCAAATAGCTTCAGGCACTTCTCCTCAAACTTGCTAACGGTAGCACGCATAGAGATGAAACTTGGTATCGTACTCTACATGTGTTGTCGTGACTGTACTATCGTACAGTTACTCACTGTGTGGCTGTCATTGTTTGTGATGTGGAGTTTGGATGCTGGGTGTGTGGGGAGAGTTGGCTAGCCATAAAAGACTCTTTAACCCACCGTCCCGGTTCTCAAGGCTGGGCACCCAGTGTCCTACTATCATGTCATGTCATGTGTATTTGTGTATGTGTTTTGTGTGGATATTTTGGGGTAAATATGGTGGTGGTGGTTTTTATTTATTTCTCTATCTATCTATCTATCCATCTATATACCTATGGCTGGTATGCTATGAACTATAATTTCATGCATGTTACATCATTTCCATGACAACTTCATGTTTCCATGACGACCACATATTGTTTGAACAACATCAAATAGCTTCAGGCACTCTTCACTCCTAAAACTTGCTAACGGTAGCACTCATGGAGATGAAACTTGGTACAAATGTGTATGACATTGTTTCCATGACAACAACATACTATTTGAACAACTACAAATAGCCTCAGGCATTTACTTCTTCACTCGTCAACTTGCCAATGGCAGCACACATGGAGATTAAACTTGATACGCATGCGTATTGCATCATTTCCATGACGACAACAGGCATTTTTCTCTATTATAAGGGGCTCGCCCCCTTTCACAGAGATATACGTAGCAGTATATGTAAATGAGTGGAGACAAGTAAATTAAATATAAAAAGAAAGGGAGACGAGATAGGGATTGGATACATTGATGAAGCATGGTTAATGAACAGATTTGAGTACGCTGACACATCAAACCCCATCACACAATCCCTATATTGTTGCCTAAGTGAAGTATTAAACATTCACCATTACAATACTCAGAACTTACGATACAAAACAAAGTCATGCTGAGTAACAACGAGTCCAAGTGGAGTTTATTTAAAAGGAATGTGGCAGTATAAAAGTAGAAATGTTACTAAATACAACAGGGACATGGTGAAAGAATGCTTGCCCTTAGTAACCTTTAGCCCGGCCTTATATAATGCCACATTCCCTATAAGAGTAGCATACCAGGCAACAATAATATAGGGATGGTGTGATGGGGTTGGGGGTGTCAGCATGCTCAAATCTGTACATTAACCATGCTTCATGTATCCCATCCCTATCTTGTCTCCCTTTCTTTTTATACAATCCCTATATGCTTCTTTTTTAAATTCGCAGGATTATAATTTACTTGTACATAATGACACATCAAATATATGTGCTATGCACTGGAAGGAAATTAAAATTTCCTGCAAAACAGTACAGGGCGCAATTTCCTGTACACTTTACTGCACCTGTCCTGGAAATGCACGGGAAAAATGGGGGAAGTGTACAGTAAAATAACATGATGTTTGTGCAAGAAAGGTGTAAACTGAACTGTACAGGAAATTTAGCTTTTCGTTCAGTGATGCTAGTTAGCTAGTCATAAAACTTTTAATAACTGCAAAGAAAAGGCAGCCCCAGTAGACACCACGAGTTGCAGCTACCGAACCTCCACCTAAAATTTGAATTAGAGTGGAAAAAAGCACATTTCATGATGGCATGATCATTGATTCTTACCATTGCCAACGACATTCGTTGTATTGTCCTTAGCTGTATTGCCATTTATGGACTCTGTAGACCACACTACAATAATAGCAGCTGCCAGATAATGAACAATGGAATAGCTTTACCATAGTTTAGTGTAGCCAATGTAGTTCTTTCCCCGCAGGTGTTTGTCATGTCTACAGATACTTGTACAAAAGGCTCTGCAATGACTATAAATGTTTCCTTTATGTCCGTGTACATTTTCGTTATCCCTGCGGTATATTGAATGGTAGCAGTGTAATGCGACAGAACATCTTGTCGCCATCCTTCGCAGGTTGGCTCGTCCCACTCTAGTCGCCTTCTAGTTTCGTCAAATCGAATCTGACCCTCAAACTTGAAGACATCCTTTACCTAATGAAAAATGCCAAGTCAGAGCAATTGTGTCAACTCTCTGACTTACTAAAGGTTATAATCAGGACTTCAGACGAGTTATACACGTCTGCGCAAGTTATTATAATGGTTCCATTGTGCCTCTCAGAGGCTGTGACGTTGAAGTTGCTGAGGGAATCCGGCTTCACTGGGCTAACAACAACGTCGGTCAGATTCAGCTCTACTGGCCCTACTCTCGCCAAGCGGGGACTGTTTCTCTCATAGGTATGACTTCCGAATGAGACCGCGGGATGCCGTCGAGCGGCAACGGTTACTTCGGGGGTCCTGTCGGCGTAACAAAAAATCGTTATCACCTCGCCACAGCTCACGGTTTCAGAGCTCAAAGGAAATAAGAATACGTGACCTGCAGAATTTTAAAGAAACACTTCCGGTTGGTACATTTCTTTTAACTTAGCTACGTACCAGAAGCAGTTCCAGCCAGCAGCGCGATTACCAGTTTGAAAAGAGCCATAGCAAAAGCGAACTTCGTTTGCTCACTAAACCGCGCGAGTGTATAGGGGCGTGCCTCTCATGCGCAGGTAGGTATGAATAACAGAGGACCAAAAATGGTAATATACCAATAGAGAGGTCATTTTACTTACATCTTTTTGTTCTTACTAAACAACTTGATACGTCAACAACGTATCTACGCGGACAAACGTACCTTTATTTGTCCAATGCAATTTTGGTAGCTTTGTATATCTGGTGAGGATGACATGCACAGACGTGAGGTTTTATACAGGGCAACCCCGCAGATGCGCATGCGCGCGTGTGCCGCAACACCCATGCGCTGTCAACGCGCAACGGCCGTTATGTCAAACCAGACTAAGGTTATGGGGTGTTCTACTGCCGTCAGTTTGAATTATCTCGTCTCATTGCTGTCTTGTGGCATCATGGTTGCTACCTCCACTAGTAATGACTATGAACAGGGGCAAGTGATAACATCCAGTCTTGTCGATGGATCAGCTTGTGTTGGAGAAGTGGTCACTCTGACTTGTGCTGTGCGTGGGACCGGAAGACTGACCTGGGTCATTGGATCAAGTGATAACACTATTCTCTTCAACCTGGCAGATGACTCATCTCCCACTACTCAGACTGACTCCACTGGCCAATTCACTGCCC